GTCTCGGTTGACATAATAGAGATCACACTGACTTGGTGGAGGATGGCTACACAAAAATAAGAAAGAAGAAGACAAATAACATAAGAAACGATTCTAAACGATCAGAATACAATTTTTTTTAGTAAATATGCATACCACGCAGGATTAGGCAGACTAGTAGCAACATCAAGGCACAGTAAGCCATTGAGCCAGGATTCTATTGGATCTCCAGAACCGTATCTGATAGACTCACTAAGTTCTATCTTCTTGAAAAGGCAACCTGTCCAAAGAAATTTGAGAGTCAGGGGATTCTCCAAAATAATAATTCACATCAACTATAGGGCCAACAAACGCAGGCCCTGCAAACAGAATTAGCTTTATTAAATATGAAGAATTCATAAGATGCACTAGTAAAGTGGGATACTTTGTATGGAGCTAGATATATTTTTACAGGCCTATTAAGGGATAAAATGAAAAGGGAGCTCCTGTTATTAAAAAGAACATTTGCATGTATTCCTCAAAACTAAGTTAACTGGCCTTCAAATAGATGTTGCACTTCCACCTAGATCATTACGATTGAGCTAACTAAATACACAAAATAAAAATTTCTAAGCAAATGCTGGAAGCACTTATTTTTCCTTCCTAAGGGGATCTGAGTGATGATTCTAAGAACAATGCGTCTATTCTCTTAAGAATGATAACGGGGTCTCTACATATCAAAGAATGAAAGCAAGATGCAGCAGTAAAGTACCAGAAAGAGAGCCTTCAAGACCAGTAGCAGGAGCCCGGCTTTGCTCGTCTAATTGTTGTAGGAGCTTCAGGGACAAAGATCTACCAGTGCCTTCATAGCTTTCAACAAAAAGAAGGCGAAACAGGTAAAATTCAGTCGCATGTTTAACCCTGAATTAAAACCAGAAAATGGATATAACGTTAAGGAAGTAGCATCGAATCATGTTTTACATACCCACTGACAGTAGACGATAGGAAAACTAGATAAGGACCAAGTAAAGACTTCACAACTGGCAAAGGAATAGCTGCCGCTTCATCAATAACCAACAGCTCTACTTGTGAGAGTTTTTCATGCTCGTGCGGTTGTATATACTGCATGAAAAAATCAAGAACATGGAACAAGTCAGAGATGAACACAAACTGCAGCTTAAAGACCATGTATTAACTGAGGAATTATCAAACCTGGATAGTTTGTCTGTGCTGCTTGAAGACGTTTATCCGTACAATTGCTTTTTTGAAGTCAGGATTCACACTTTTCACAACATCATAATCAAGGTGCTCCTTTAAAAAAGATAGTGAGAGGTATATAAGAAACATAATATCACCACATCGCAAAGCAGAATAATGGTTTCTTCTTCTTTCCTTAAGCTTGTATAGGTCTAATTCAATGGTTCTCTCAAGAGATATGCATATCTCTTTCACATTGCCGGAACAAGTGCGATTTAAAAATAATCTCTAAATAAAGAAATTTGCATTACCTTATATTCAAGTACATCAAAGCCTTTGCAAACAAACTCAAAGAATGTCTTTAAGTTGTCTGGGCTTGGTGCAGTTATGTAAATATTTGAGTACCTAAGAGCAAGTAAATCACATACCAACAGTTTTAACAAACATCCAGAAAAAAACACTGCTGGAGAGTAAAAGAATATCGCAAGTAAAATCTACCCAGCAGCAACAGCTCCGGCAACAGCTAAACCAAGTGCAGCAGATTTTCCACGCCCTCGACTAGCAATCAAAGCAACTATGCTGCGGAGAGCCTTATCCAGAATTGCATCGAAAAATGTGACAACAGCTTTACCCTACAAAAAAAATACAGAAACTCAATTAATATCTGCCATGCAACAAGAAAGAACATTAGCAAGACAAGTAAGCAAAAAATTGATAGTTTTGAACCTGATCCAGTGTATAGCATTTCTTGATTAAAGGACCAACAGGAAAATCATCACTTAGTTCGTCTTTCAAATTCTTCAGGTCACGTTCTGCCTCAGAGAGCCCTTGGGGATCCTTTAATAGCACACAACATTGGGAAGTTATTGACACTAGCTGGAATTTTGGAAAACATTTTCTCACAACAGAAGCCAATTCACTTTGTAACAAAGACTACCTTTGCCGTTGGAACTTGAGCAATAGATCTGATATGAGAGGAAAGCGGTAATATATTCAACTCATCATCCATCACAACACATGCTTTGCATGATGCAAGTGATAGAAGAAAACGTTCATTGAAACGGCCAGCAGCCTCAGAATGTGACTCAGTTCTGAATCTATCATGGACATCCTATAAAAGAAAAAGAAAAATCATGGTATAGCAGTTCGCTAATGTTTTTCTTTCACTTTCTTCAGAGTAAGCAATAAAAGTATGAAAAATGGGGCTCGTACCATAACCATCGTGCATAGACTAGTAAGTGATGCAAGAGATCGTAATATTAAGACAATCATCCCACCACCTTCCACAGTCTCAATTGTCCTTGCTAGTAGATTTGGAGTTAACGCTTCAAAATCCTGAATTTATCAAGAAGAGAGATCAACTGTTAATCCACAAAATAAAACAGAGCCAGGTGACAATAATTTTGAATGAATATTAAGAAAATGAAGTATACCTGTAAAATGCACATGCCAAAAGTATTTCCCAGAATTCTTTCAGAATCTTTGTACAAGCAATGAGTTACTCTTCCCACATCAAGCAAACGCGAAAAAGCGTCAAGTTTCTCTGGATCCAACTGTCCTCTCTCCCTCATTCTCTTCAGCTGCTTAGAACGCTTCTTCTTATGACTGCAAACAAAACGACGAATGCAAACCTCTCACTCAAACATTCTATTGATACACAAATTAACAATACACGAACAGACTCCGATCATTAATAACAAAGTCATCACTAAGGAGTACGGCTTCCATTCTACATTTGTGCCCAATTCAATTCTCAAAGTAAGTTATCTATCCTCACTCTCCAGAGGAAGACTAAAAATACAAAATTGAGACATAAAAGCTTCAGAATTTGGCATGAAGAACCGAACCTGCTAATGTCAAGCTTGTCTTTGTAGCACCACAATACACTCGGATTAGACTTAGTCACTGCCTTTGATAACATATGATGGAGGTTCACTATCTGTTAAGAGTAAGAACACACACACAAAAACAAAGTTTGTAGAATTAATATCCAAAAAACCAAACAAAAATTCTCATTAATATGAGTCAAAAGCATAAACCTTTTACAGAACTGAAACACCTAACCTGGTCACGAGACTTGTCACCGATGATTACAAACATAGAACGGTGTCTCAGTTTAACACCGTTCTCAATCAGAGTCCTGATACG